CGTGTGTGTGTGTGTGTGTGTGTGTGTGTGTGTGTGTGTGTGGATACTAGCCTATATCACTAACCTGCCAAACTTTGGCAAATCCATCAAGTTCTTCTCCCTCAAAAGCGCATATCAACTCAATAAACATCTTTGTTTCTAGATAGACAGATTGAAAACACTGTGTGCCTTTAGCTGCATAAAGCCATCCCGTCAGCAGTTTCAGCCAATTTCAAGCATTTTTGTGTGCATCAAACAGCCAGCGAACAGACTGAGGGCGGTCCATGGGCGTGCTGTCTGAGACTGACACAATGACTTAGTCAGATATCAGTCTTCCCTAAAGACCCTGCTCATGAAAAGCAGTTACTCTGTGAACACACTCTATCGATCTTTAGCTATAATGAATCAGAGAAATACCCAAACTTTTAATTCACCGTGGTCCCCCCACAGTTTTCCTCACTCCTCCCCTCCTATTGACTTTCTCCTCCTCTGTGCTCTCTCTCTCTCGATAACCAGTAGTCCTTGAGTCTAAAAATAGGTTCAAATTATAGTTCTTTGGCTGGTTTGACTTCTGAATTAATAGCTCCAGTCAATCACAGTCCCTGCCACTACATGCTGCCTTAGAGCTGGAAAAGGTAAAGTTACTTGGGGACAGCAGCATGGTAAGGAGTCATACTTACACCTCCCTGTCGGCGGAGATTGCCCCGACTGCCATTGATTTTGAATGTTATCCAGGGTTAGTTTGTGGAGATGTTTGACCCAGCTGAGAACAGACGCCGTTGGCCGCAGCGAGGTGCAATTATGCTGCCCGCCTCCCATAGAGCCACACAGATGCTCGTTTCTACTAAACGCCATTAAGAGCACAGATGACATACAGAGAGCTATTTTAGGTAAAAGGATGAAGACCACAGCAAGCAGCCATAAAGTAAGTCATCCCTGCGTGGGACAGATGGCAGACAGTGAGAAATTGAGCTTAGCTGATCAGAGAACCAGCGAGACTCACTCTGGCAGACAGGAAGATTCATTCAAACGTATTGGAGTCGTTTGCATTTTGGAGCCTTTCCAAAGTTAAAATATCACTGCTCTGGAGCCGAACGCGCAGCCACGCTTGGTCAAGGTCATTTGGAATCCATTAAAATTGACTTTATGGAGGGAAAGTCAACGATCAAGAGTGATTACGATTATTACATTTGCTTTGTTTGTTTTTGAAGAGTGCCGCACATCATTAATCACTGAGGGAAGGCACAGCACGTGGTCTTCAGATGAAAAACAGCGTTGCTCATCCAAACTGGCCAATCAGCAAACAGTAAGTGGATTTTTTGGGGTAAATGGTTACAGCGAGTAATCAGGGGAACGTTTGAATATTCAACCCCTGGGCCTGACATCTAATTCCTTCTCTGGTTGGCGCCTCCCATGAGAGGTAATGTGACAAAATAGCAGTAAAAGGGGAAGCGGGAATTTGCATTTTAATGTGCCTGTCGGAATCACTTTGGTGGGGAACATTGGTAGGCAGGGATTTGGCAACCCCAAGGGTCAACAGCAAACAAGCAGGATAAGCAGCCCACTGGAAATGGAAACCAGGAGAGTTGGAGTTAGGCTGCTTTGAATTAAAAGGAGTGAGGAGATGTCGAAATGACACCCGAGAACAATAATACAACTACGGTTGGGAGACAAATCCATTTGACTGTTATTAGGAGCTACAAATAAACAGCTAAACGAAGGAGGCTATAATTGAAATATCAAAAAAGTCCAATATTCATCATCCACATGAAGTAAATAGCCCCTTGTGCCATATTCTTTATGTCATGTTTGTAATATTGTGTGACAGGCATCTCAAATATAGTCTGGAAACTAAAATGCATATGCTGATTGGATCAGCTCAAGTTTCATATGCCTTATGTTTCTCATACGAATAGCAAAGAGCTCTGTTCCAGAACCAAGTAAGCTGCCTCCCTAGACAGCATTTTAAGGCATCATATGCACACTCTTAATGCAAAGGCTATTCCAAAAAAAAAAATGCAATCTAGTTCTGCCTCTTAAAATATCTTAATTTGGCTAGATTTGAATGGTAATGTGGGATTGCTGGAGAGCAATCCCAAAATGCACTGCAATCAGCTAAGTGCAGAAATGAGTCCAATGAATGAGGGAGAAATGTTGATTGCTAATATACTTTATTTGATACGGAAAAGTATTGATAAATATAGCTGAAAATA